TATGTATCACAGTCATGCAATCCCTATGTCACATGACTAAGCATAGTAGACTTATTGGGGTTAGAGCTAAGAAAGACATCAAAGAGGTGCACAGTACAATGGGCCCATAAAGCGGTCCAGGCATTGCAATGGGGCTTGTACATCTTTTGCTACACCGGGGAACAAATGGGTAACTGTTGGCTTTATTCTATTATTTCCCACACTCATCAGAATGTTACATTTTCATGTCAATGATCTTTTAAGAGACCAATCACCACGAAGCTCAGCATATTATTCAACCAACTCAAATCACTTTAACTCCTTGGCAGGGCAGAGCAGGGTAAGTGCCGGCATATGCATTTCTTTATTATAGATACAAATAAATATAATGTCTCTGCTTCATTTCCCTTAGTTCCTTCTCCATACATTTCCCTTAGTTCCTTCTCCATACATTTCCCTTAGTTCCTTCTCCATACATTTCCCTTAATTCCTTCTCCATACATATCCCTTAGTTGCTTCTTCATACATTTCCCTTAGTTCCTTATCCATACATATCCCTTAGTTCCTTCTCCATACATTTCCCTTAATTCCTTCTCCATACATATCCCTTAGTTCCTTCTCCATACATTTCCCTTAGTTCCTTCTCCATACATTTCCCTATGTATTGTAGTAACTCACAGCTTGTATCTGGAACAGTGGGATCAGTGACTGATTGGGATACATGACAAACACCTCCAAGTCAGCAGAAGCTTGCACAGTTAGTGAGTCGGGCTGGCAGCTTACTGTGGGAGCCGAGTGGGCCGAGACCTCGAGCAGCAGTGCTGGTGAATCTGGGTACCGACCGGGCAGCTGAAATGAGAACAATACCATTATAACCACAAACATTTACATATGAGACTGCTTGAGACAAATGATGTGATTCTACATTACCATTTAATCTTCATATCAAGTTATTGAGCTCCAAATGCACTCACCAAAAATAGAAATCACCGAGAATCAAAATGAGCAGTAGCTGCTCTGACCAATCAGCTCATGTGGAATGACTCCCAAATTTGGAATACTGAAAGGAAGCTGTTGAGGCTTCAACTTTGGGGCAGTTAATCAGCTCCATGTACTGAGGGTTAGGGGCTCTTTGATGGCAGAGATTCCATCATGATCATCATAACTCAACAGCCAGTAGTGCGAGAGGTCTTCAGTAGAATACTTATTTCCTATGCTCCTTGGCTCCATCTAGTGGCCATGATGTATTATTACAGCACACTACATTCTAACTGGGAAAAATCTATACAACGGTACAGAAAAACCTACAATTTCACCCTACAGCTATGTCTCAATAGTGCGACCTCCAGTGTCTTCTTACCTCTGGTGCAAAGAGTCCTAAACTTCTTACATTTAGCCGTATTGGGGATTGCTTCGGGATCTAGAAAAAGCACAAGACATATTTTATTTTTTTAATAAGATTATGCAGTTTGATGCCATTACCCATAAAATCTGACTGTTTGCAATTCAAGGCAGGGGTATGGATCTGGCACTGGGCTTCCATGGACCACTCAGCTATGCACTGAAGCCAAAACTCCATCATAAGCAACCAGCATTTGTTCCAATTCTTCTTGGCTATGGACAGCCCAAACTACATATGGTGTGGCCATTTGCAGCTATGGGCATACAGAACTGCAATGCAATTACCCATAAAATCTGACTGTTGGCAATTCAAGGCAGGGATATGGATCTGGCACTGGGCTTCCATGGACCACTCAGCCATGCAATGAAGCCAAAACTCCATCAGAAGCAACCACCAGTTGTTCCAATTCTTCTTGGCTATAGACAGTCCAAACTACATATGGTGTGGCCATCTGCAGCTATGGGCATACAGAACTGCAATGACCACACTGTACAGGGGGCTACAGCATCTAAGCAATATGGCCAGTGTACTATAGGATCTTCCTATCCGGTCATTCAATATACAAGTAGACAAGTAGACATAGGGACGGGGGCGTTGCAGTTGTAGATGCAGCTGGGC